TAGTTGTGAATCATGGAAAATTGAAATGGCAAGCGCTAGACGAGATCTCTTTGTTATATACTCTCATTGCATCGTGAAGAAAAATGTGTATGTTTTCATTCATGAATAGTTGTGAATCATGGAAAATTGAAGTGGCAGGCGCTAGACGAGATCTCTTTGTTATATTCTCTCATCGCATCATGAAGAAGAACGTGTATTGTTTCGTTCATGAATAGTTACTTGTGAATCATGGAAAATTGAAGTGGCAGGCGCTAGACGAGACGAGATCTCTTTGTTATATTCTCTCATCGCATCGCGAAGAAGAACGTGTATTGTTTCGTTCATGAATAGTTAGTTGTGAATCATGGAAAATTGAGGTGGCAAGCGATGAGACGAGATCTCTTTGTTATATACTTTCATCGCATCGTGAAGAAGAACGTGTATTGTTTCATTCATGAATAGTTTAGTTGTGAATCATGGAAAATTGAAGTGGCAAGCGCTAGACGAGACGAGATCTCTTTGTTGTATACTCTCATCGCATCGTGAAGAAAATTGTGTATGTTTTCATTCATAAATAGTTATTTGTAATCTCTAGTGATTGATGGAAATGATATAATTGGACTGCTTAGTTTTATTTTAAATAGCTCATGGTTATCATTGTATTTTAAATATTAACTAAATGATTTCTAAAATAGTCATGTCACGAGAGCAGTCCTGCCACACTTTACCGTATAGTTGCCAGCAGTTGGATTCGCAGCACCTCAATTATCTTGATTTTATTAGTGCCTAGACATCCTTCCTTTTAATAGAGACTCATCGGAAATGACTTGATCCAACATTTACGACCTGCGACCTGCGAGCTTATATTTGCCTACTAATCTGCTATTTTAGGCTAGATTGCTGCACCTGCTTGAACTTATAGCACAATTAGACTTAATTATCGCAACAATGATGCTTCAATATGCATCATTTACTTCATGTCTACGTAAATACATCATCGATCATGAAACATTCACAGTATATACTGTATGCTGAATTTAAGCGCCACCGTTTTTATTTAGATTTCTAGATACCACAGATTATGAATATAACCAATTTCTAAAGCAATAAATCTTTACGCGACTTATGCAGTCTGAAGCTCGACGGTGATCGCTTTTTGATTGCCTCGCCTCGTGCCTGCGACGCGTTAGTGTCGCTACAATTTCTGTCACCTAATTTTTTATCGCTGGGCCAACTTGGGAACCTGATTTAGTGTCGCGTACAATTTCTAGCAGCTAATTTCGAACCGATGGGCCGACTTGGGAACTTATTTATATATGTATTTATATACGGGGAAGAAGCAGCTAAAGTACTCAGCCCGGCATACGTCGGTTTCTCGAGGCTCTGTTAAGGGGAGCGTCTAGGGTAAAATTTGTCTGGGCTATTTACGGACGGATCACTCTGAAACTTGGTACTCATATGTAAAACAGAAATCTAAGACTTTTTTGTTCATGTAAATTTTTCGAAAAAAAAATGAAAGAAAACGTGAAAATCTTAGAAAACGGCCAAAAAAGGGGGTACCGTAGAAATCTATCTCCTCCTAGGATTTTCAAGCTAGAACAGCGAAACAGATATCATTCGATGCGTAAAGACCATATCTAAAACTGAACACGGCGGTTTTTTGGATTTCTCATTTTTGTGGGTGTGGGAGCATTTTTCGTAAATTTAGGCTGAGCTTTTATTCAGATTATGCAGAGCAAAAATCCCGGGACTTGTGTTGCGCCGACTCTCGCTACAGAATGTTTACAATTTTCGATAGATTGCGATTCTTATTGCATATGGGAGTATGAATCTGATATTTGATGTTCATTTATAGCACTCAATTTTCCAGTCTCTGCTGTAATTTGTTTCGTTATTCAATCGCCAAGCTGCTCACCAGCACGCAGTTATAAGTAACCCCGCACTTGCTCTCCTCCCTAATAGCCTCGGATGCCTGCGGTATCGCCAACACACGCTTCTCGTGATAACGATTCTTGTTGCCGGCTCCCGTATTGCGAAGTAGCAATGCTATCCGAAGCACCCAACTAACTAAAAACTTCAAACCTGCTGCTTCCTTCCCTGTGCGGAGGAAACTGTGTGAACTATTCCGTAACCCAACAGTTCTGTGCCAATGAGTCATTTGTTGGCAGATGCAACAACGCAATTAGCGAAGGGCAAGCGTTACGTCACATGAATGCACGGCGCTGTGTTGGAGCTTCATATGTTAAGTCCCTCACATCACGATCTGTTCAGTTATCCCTAACTATCTAATAATATTTTAATAATAATAATAAAAATAATAGAAGAATAAACAATATTCGACCTCCTCTAATAATATTCCTTCAATTCAAAGTTGTATGTTATGGAATATGTCATTCCTAGAAGCCTCATTTCACCCATGACTTTGTTACTCAGAAATGCTTTGAAGTGTGATCTTATTTGATTTCTACGCAAATGTAAGTTTTACCCTTATTCCCGTACTCTCATTCTGGAGGAAAATATACGCGCTATTTAGTCGCTACCCTTGAAAATATACGCTACCCTTCAAAACTTTGTTGAACTCCGACACCTCGCTCTCAGCTTCACATTATAGGCTCTAGGGTGAGAGTAGCTGCGGTGTTGAGAGGCACCTCGCTCTCAGCTTCACATTATAGGTCCTTCAATTCAAAGTCGTATTTGTTTTGAAATATTTTTCATTCCTAGAAGCCTCACTTCGCCGATGATTTTGTTACTCAGAAATGCTTTGAAGTGGGATGTAATTTGATTTATACACAAATGCTACTACCAAAATGGGGGTTGTACTTTGAAGCGCAATACGTTGTGCCTTTATTCCCCCGTACTCTTATTCTGGAGGAAAATATAGGCGCTGTTTAATGGCTACCCTACATTAAGCTTCAAACTTAGTTAAACCCGACACCTCGCACTCTGCTTCATACTAAATGCTTGATAGGTTCTAAGGTCGCACTCAGCTTCACATTAAAGGCTCTAGGGTGAGAGTAGCTGCGGTGTTGAGAGGCACCTCGCTCTCAGCTTCACATTATAGGCTCTAGGGTGAGAGTAGCTGCGGTGTAGAGAGGCACCTCGCTCTCTGCTTCACATTATAGGCTCTAGGGTGAGAGTAGCTGCGTTGAGAGCCTCAAGCAGGCGCTGAGCTGCGCGGTGGTCGCCTGGTTATCTGTTATGGCTGCCGCAGAGCACCGAGTTCGCTGGGCGCTGCGCCAAATTACACCCTCAGTCTTTGGTCCCTTGTGTGCCTCGTGTTATTCTACTGTTACCCTCAGACCTACCCTCACTGTGCCTCGTTGCTCTGCGTTACTGATTTGTTGTACTACCTCGCGTAACCGAAATCTATCGAACAACATAGCATTGTATTTTCGAACTTCTCGTGCTATAATATCTGTGAAATTCAAACCAAGTTGGGCAGTGGTCGTGAAGGAATACAATTCTTGTGTTGACGAACAGTGCTGTTGGACAACTAATATCCTCGACGAAACGTCCGAAGAAGAGATATGATAGTATTGGATCACTAATATCCTCGACGTTACGCCCGAAGAAGAGTTATGATAGTAGGTTTATTTCTTGTGCGAGTTTTGTTCGTTGGCGCGTCGACATGTACACTTTCTTCGCGACCATCTTCTCCACTGTAGGTCCTTATATATCAGCGCCTTTATAGCTTTATATTCTCTTCCGGAGTTGCCGACTGCTTATTAAACAGGTAGCGTGTGTGACTTGGGCTTGACCCTGTGCCTTGCTTCGAGCACATAAAGCCATCTTTGTTGCTTCTTGCTGTCATAACAATAATAATGCAGGCCTTAATGTTCATGTTCGCTGTGGCTATCATTAGCACGAATCTCATTCAGCTCACGAACGAGTATTTTCAGCGAGCTGAATTAGCTAATTCATTTCTTCAGCTGAATTAGCTAATTCATTAATTCATTAGCTAATTGAGCGAGCTGAATTAGCGCGGGAACTGCGCCGTTAACAAGCCAATAATGGCCATTATTGAGAATAACCACGATCATCCGCCTCAGAATTCAAAGCAATGATAGTAGATTTAGTTCTATTTCTCCATCAAAAAAATAATGGTTTCATTTTGGGTTCAATGTTTCATGTTTCAATTGCAAAACTCCTGCGCTATTTTGTACTCATAATTAGTTATTGTTTCTTGCGTTCAGACTCGATTGAATTATTGGAATTTGCATTTCAGTCTTTTTGTTTTTCTTTGTTTGTATTTCCGCCATTAAATGAATTCTCTTATCGAATACGTCGCTCATTTGCTTGCAAACACTAACGCTTGTTATTAATTCCTACCATTTCCCTCTCCATGATATTCAATTTCCTTCTGTTTTTCATTTCCTTGCTTTACAAGACCTTTAATTTCCTCTGGTCCTTCTTCCCAGCGATTACGTTACAGTCACCCAAGTTGCTGTTACTTTCGTTTAATAAATTCTATTCTTTATTTTACTTTACGTTTGCATTTTAACCCCCCTTGCCTATATTGTATTTATGTTGTGTCGTGTGCGTGCGAGGTCACGAGGTGCCGTGCACATGTGAAGAAGTTTGTTCATGCATGCATGGTGCCGTATCTATAGTGAAGGTCACATAGTTTCATTTATCATGTACATATGAGGCATCATTTACTCATTCTATGCGTAAGATGTCGGTTACTTTTGAGGTGTAATGTATGCGTGACGGTGAAGGTGTCATTTATTCATTCTATTTGTAAGGTGTCGTGTACCTGTGAGGTGCCATGTACATGTGAGGTGTCATTAATGTTTTATTTGTAAGGTATCGTGCCTATGCTTTTTAGGTGTCATGTAGAATGATTGTACATGTCAGTGTTCTTGTCAGGAGCCCTGCCCTAATTAATTAGGTCCCTGCGGCATGAAGTTCAATGGTTCGGTTATGATGCCATAGTCATAATGAAGCAAACTTTCACTACTCACCATATCCTCCTTGCAGCTGGTCACAGATGGTCACTACTCACCATATCCTCCTTGCAGCTGGTCACAGATGGCGCCGAGGGTGCCAGCTCATCCCCATCATCCTCCTCCTCAGCGCCCATCATGCCTGTCCCTGGGGCTCATAAGCCCGTGGTAAAGCTTCCACGTTTCACTCGTTCATCAAAGCTCTCGTACTTACTAACTTAGACGCGTGCGTCGCGCCTAAACTGAACAAATTCGCTGACAGAGAATTAGTATACAATTCAATTGGCAATATCGGCAATAATTGCTAATTGAAAAATACATTAATGGTAATGTATTAATATTCCATTAACAGTACTTTTTAATTAACTCAAAAACTAACATAAATTAATAAGGCCGGCCGGGTAAGACTCGATATCTCGGTTAATCCATAAGCTGATTGCTCTTATCTTTATATCCTTCCTACCAATCTTGAGCGGATAAGTTTCAGTTTACTATCTTTGATTATATTTTACTTTAATCTTCAAATTCTTCAGAAAAGTCAAATCCAAAAACTAAACGCTGGCTAAAAAAGGAACTATTTGTTCCTAGAGAATCCTCCGAATTGATTGGCTTCCTCGAAATACTATAAAGGCGAAGTGCGTCTATATCAGATGTGCATTAATTATAATATTCAATGCATCGCATGGGAACCGAATATTGCACGAAACTTTTGCTAGATCTTTTCTGCGCAGTACGAGATCTTTGCACACATCCTTGCACTGATTCTCCAGAAATCGTTCATCAGCAGAAATATCATTGGTTAAATGTATACATTTATCTTGAAATATTGTTGCTTGTAACTCGGACATAGTTGATATGTGTCCCGCGAGTGTGTGTTTTGCCTCACCTCGGTGTTGTCCATATTGACCGTGTTGAATTTCTGAGTTTGATCTCAAAAAATGCACTGGAATGGCGTTTTTTAAACACTGTAGTAATGTTTATTGTGTGTGACTGATTGCAAGTAACTATTGATACCATTGGTGTTTTTTAAACGTATTCATATAATGCGTTTTTTTTTTACAAAAATGTATATTCTTGTATGAATAAGCAACACACAATGTAAGTTGTCGTATTTTGCTGACAAGTCCTAGAATGAACGTTTTAATGCACGCTCATCATGATGGTTGCCAGAAATTTATCACGTTGCTCGTATTTTTAGCGCATTTTCTCATTTATGGAAAAAATGCACTATTGTGCTCGCCATGTCCGTCTGTCTGTCTGTCTGTCTGTCCGTCCGCCTATTGTGCTGTCTGTCCGTCCGTCCGTGACCTCAAGTTTTCGGCGACGAGAAAATGCGCTCTCTGTCCCTCACTGCAGTGAGTACTGAGTTATATTTTTTGAGCTTTTGCTAGAGTTGGAATTCAAGTAATTACTCTGCAACTTCCTATATGGGACAAAGTCCCTAAAAAGTGTCCTCACTGAGAATGAATTTCAGAGCTGAGGTTTAGCTTACCCATGGCTCGCGTCGTCAAGACATGTTTTATGTGACTGCATGACTTTGCCTCGACTAGTCTTTTACCCATGGCTCGCGTCGATCAGACATGTTTTATGTGACTGCATGACTTTGCCTCGGCTAGTCTTAACCCAGGCGTTGCCAATAAGAATCGCATGATGCTCTAGAGCTGCCATCTGCAGAGTTGGCACCTCCATGGCATTGCCGGCGTACTGTGTGCACCTATACTAGCCTCTGCCTCCTTGCAGTGCTGCTATACCGCCTCACTTGTCTTGTTTTTATTCATGTACACACCTCCCAGCCTCTGCCTCCTTGCAGTGCTGCTATACCGCCTCACTTGTCTTGTTTTATTCATGTACACACCTCCCAGCCTCTGCCTCCTTGCAGTGCTGCTATACCGCCTCACTAGCCTTGTTCATTTTTATATTAAAAAATCATCCTGTGTATATTTTCCTGCCATTAAAATGTGTACATTTTTCACTGCAGAAATAAGCTAATTTGCCTGCAACATTTCTTGTGTGATATTTAATTCAACGCATGTAAAAATAATAATGTTTAATACAAAAATAATTGACTGTGATCATTTTCGCAAAGATTGTACAGTTTCTCATAATTCCATGCTGAATTAATCTCAGTTTTGCGTTGGTGAAATAGGCATGATCTGTTAAGCATTACCTTGCAACTAAGCGCGTCGTATATACGACTAATCATTCATATTAAATATTCACTATAGAATGAGCATTTAATTGTGTCATTACCATGCATATAACATCTATTACGAGTATTTCTATATTTTCATAGATTTTGAGATCATCGCTTGTTGTTTATTCACGTACATTTACACGTACTTCTACGTGCCTTCGCAAATCTAATTATCAATTTCGTCATTTGCGTCCAGAAAGAAATTTAAAAAGTAGAATTTTTTAATAAATTAGTAAAGAATTATTTCAATGTCATGGTCGTCCTGTTTGTTCACTGTACCGAAGCAGTTGCCAAGCCTGGGCGTTTGAATGCCTCCTCTAAAAGTTCTCTAGAATTCAATTGCCAAGGCTATGTCCTCAGGCCGCTTGCTTGTATCGATAACCTTTCGCAATTGCACGATCAAAACTTCAATTATGTTGGAAATTTTTATTCATTGCACGTTTTTATTATCACTAGAAGGTATTTTTCTTGCCTCATGCCGAAATTTGTCTATTGATGTCTCTTAACGAAATGCAAATAATGATCTGAATTAATTTGTATCCACAAATTTAGTGGATTTTTGTTCTTTTTAGGTTACAAAATAAGCTATAAATTACATATATTTTCTCATATTGCAGCTTGACGACCTCAGTTCGGACAGCGACGATGACGAATTCTTCGATGTTATTCCACTCGGCCATCGTGTCTTCGATAACAACTTGACTGCGAAAGATACCAAGAGTAAAGCAGCCTGCTCGACCACCAATGCTGAGTCGACACAGTCAAATAAAAGTCCGGCTGTCGTCCCCAGTATGGGGAACATGCTAGGTGGTGGTAATAGTGTAGTTTCTGCTGCTAGTGTTCCGTCCATTGCTGCTGCTAGTGCCGCTTCCACGTCTTCATCCAGCATCCAATCAGTTGCCATTTCCACTGCTTGCCTCAGCACTACCGGCGCTGCTGACACTGCGGTTATTACACACGCAAGCGAGGCCACGAAATTACCCAGTGCTTCGCATACAGCCTCTTCTTCAGTCATAACTACAGCGGTTACAACATCCTCTGTTTCAGCTCGTGTCATTCCCATGGCACCTCCTAGTGTGCCGTCAACTGTAGCTAACGGCCCCATCCATAGCCCCTCAGTGAGTTCAATGGCACCTCCTGGCACTCCCGTGCTTATCAAAGCCTCCACTGTATCGACGAACTCCGCTCCTGATCGCTGTGTCACACCTTCGCCCTCACACAAAAAATATCAGGCACCTCAGCCCCCGGGGTCTTTGTCTCGACAAGCATCGAGCGCGTCCATCGCCCGCCCTCCAACGGGCCCAGAGCCTCTCATGCGACAGCTCTCGAGCGCCTCCCTCGCACGCAACTCTGCCGTCTTCAGTGAAGGGGGAAAAAAATGCCAGCGGTCCCCTTCGCTAAAGAAGTACCCAGCGCCTGCGCCACCTGGTCTTGTAAGGGAGGGTTCTTCTCTAAGCATAAAAAGTTCTGCCGTTGCAGGTTGTTCGAAACTCACCCCGTCGGACGACGTTCTTTGTGAGAAGGTTCTGAACGATGGTTGTAGTTCTACTTCTTCGAGTAGCGTTACTCAGCCTGTAGGCCCCAGTCCATCTGAAACTGAATCTGCGGTAAAAATGAATATTTCTGAAACTTCTGTGAGTTCAAATAAATTAACGAATGGACATGTGGAAGATATCCTCAGCGCTTTCCAACGAGGAGCTTCCGATTCCTTGCAGCAGCTAAAGACCGCAAATAAAGAAAGAAACGAAATAAAAAACGCTACTCGGAGCCCGAGTGAAACAAAATCGCAAACGCTGAGCGACGATTCTTTAGTCGGACAAAGTAGCAGCAATGATGTGAGCGTCGAGAGCAGCGCTACTGATGACGACATCAAAAAGCGTTCATCGTCTCGAGAAACGAGTTCGAAAAAAGCCTCTCGAAAGTTAGGGTCTTTAACCAGCAAGTTTGAAGCCGCCTCGCAATCTACAACTGAAGTGAATTCTCCAAGTTCTCCAACTGACGTCAAAACGCGGAAGTTTGCTCCAAAAGCCCCTTCTAAGAACAAACTGGGCAGCTTAGCGAGTAAGTTTGAGCCGAATGAATCTTCATCTAATATCAGCAGTAACATAAAAAACCCAAATGTGAGCAAGTTGCCATCACCTTACAGCGACCCGTTTGACTTTCAGCCAGCGGCTCCACCGCCTGTGATTCAACGTAAAAGCATTGGAGGAATAAATGTCAGTAAATTTGGTGGTACTGGGAGATTCCCCACACAACAACAACTGAGAAAAAATTCCAAACCTTACTTGGGAGAAGTCGACCCAACTGTCCCTAGAACTGTTAACAACGGCGCGGTGAACGGCGCGCAGTCCGAAAGCGTTTTAGAACCTGCCAATTCAAGCAACTCGATTCCAGCCACTACTTCGCCAATCAAAGAATCCGCTACTGCAGGCAATTCTGTTCCAGACTCTACGTCGCTTATCGAAGAATCTGCCAATGTAGGCAATTCTGCTTCAACCACTACGTCGCCAATCAAAGAACCTGATAATGTAGGCAATTCTGCTCCAGACACTACATCACTTATCAAAGAAACATCTAGCGCTATCAGCTCCGTTTCCGTCAGTATGTCGTGCACTAAAGAAGCGGGCAAAGACTCCGAGAAAATTGAAACCGCAAACAAAAAACATTTTGTTTCGTCCCCTCAGAGACTGTGTGCTGATCCTGTTGAAAACTTCGACAGGGAACATCAAGAGAAGCCTACTGAAAGACGATCCGAAAAATGCCCTTCTGGTTTATCTGGCACAGATTTAGCTCTTGATCATAATGTTATTCAAAATAATCAAGAGGTGAAAGAGAACGGTTCCGCTTCTAAATCCGCTTTCTCTGAAGTGGAAGACGTGACATCCGAGTCAATTAAAGAAGAGGTAGTTGACAATTGCTCGAAATCTCCAGATATTTTAGATGCCCCGGTGACATCCTCGCATACCTCAACCACGAGCAAGCTAATAGCGGCACATTCTCAAAACTCTGTTGTCGCTCCCTCAACTAAACTATGTATTATGCCCTCTTTATCCGATACTACCACACTTTCTGCAACCCAATTAAATTTCTCTGTCACTGAAGAACCCATATCCGCTCCTTCGTCTGACACCGCTTTGTTCTCAGACTCTCCTGGCCTACCTGCCGTGCCTTCTATGGTTTCTGCATCATCGTCCCTCGTTTCACCCTCGTCGTCGTCCACTGTTTCGGCCAAGTTGATCTTGATCCCCAGCGAGTCTTTGATAACTTCGACGCTCTCTACCACTGACGACAAGAACGCCTCAGCTATTCTTGTGAACGGGAAGCCGGAAATTTATCCAGCGATATCTACTTCGTCTGATCAGATGCGGCCAACTGCTACTAATGATAGGAAAGATAGCTTGGATTCCGGGTCCATTTCTTCTGAACATCGATCGTCGACGGCGGAATGGTCATCTAATCTGTGTGGGAAGTCTGAAGTTAAGTTCTCTTCATTGAATGTGTCTCCAGAAATACTTTCTCCATCCATATCACTGCCCAGTGCTTCAATATTCACGAGGGCCTCCTCCGTATCTCCTTATATTGGTGTCTCGCCCACTAGTGAAAATGTCCTTAACACTGACGATATTTTCAGCCGAGCTCGATCATTGACGCCTATGGGAAACATAGGTGAGCGTAGATTGCTTCAACCGAAATCTAGATTTTTACAATCTGGCGGTGTAACGAGTGCTCTTGATCTGGACAAACCTGAGTCTGCCCTGGAGAAGTACAGGCGTCGCAGGGAACTTCGGAACCAAGCTGCTAGGGCTCAGCTTGAGGCTCTCACTAAGCCAGCACACGAGACGTCTCTTCCTAACTCGACGTTAAGCGATGCAGTGTCTGCTCCGAAGGAAATTGCATCGAACTCCAGTGCTTCTACAAGTTCCGCATTCAAGCTCGACCTCTCAGGCATAAAAGACTTCCTTAAGAAAACCGAAGAAGAAATAAGCAAGTTACCTCGGTACATTAGGGAACCTTGGTCCATGTCAGAATTTTTAAGCGGCAACAGGACTTCTAGCTCTGCATCTTCTACTCTGGAAACTGCGACTGACCCACTTGTGACTCTTCCAAGCGTTCTTTGCAATGGCTCTTTACAATCGTATTCATCATCTCCTGAATTGGACTTAACAAAAGCACGTAATCGCAGCGGCAGTGACGGGGACTTGGAAGTTTATGTTGATGCCAAGGATCTGCTGGACACTTCACAGCTGGACACTCTCATGCCCTTGCCGGATGCGCGCAGTCTGGACCGCAGATGTCGCTCTGTCACCCCCAGCAGAGTCATCGCCAACACCGAGAAAATCCTCTCCCAGACCGATCGCTTGCTCAAAAAATCGCGTTCCGGTAATTCCCTGAGGAAGTCCTACTCTCGGTCCATCTGTGCTGCCAACGTCGAAAGGGTGAGTGGTGGTCCACGTACGATTGTTTGCGTGTTTTTCTTGCGTCTGTGTTAATAATTTTTCGATATTTTTCAGGTACGTCCGCAGCATCGCCGTCAGACTACCAAGATTTTAGTTACTAGGGCTCCATACCAGTTGTAGTTTCAGGTTTAGACAGTAGTTAGAGTTGACATTTCACCTGTCTGCATTGTTGGCTTGGGTAGCGTTAGAAACTCGCTAACAATAGGAATTGTAGCGTTGGTACTATACAATTCGCATTTCTATCTATAGATATTTAAATAAATTTAACAATGCATCTATATTTTTTGTAAAGAATACGCATTTTTCGATCAGCTGGCTGAGGTAGTGGCTGACCTGGCTGAGGAGCACAGCACGGCTCAGCTGGCTGGCGAGAGGCTGGAGGCAGAGCAGGCTGACAGGATGAGGCTGGAGAAGGAACTCGACGCCACTCAGGTGAACTTTGTCCTTATGCTCGGCCATCCTATGTTACCTTCTCACCGACTAAACGTTGTCCTTATGCTCGGCCATCCTATGTTACCTTCTCACCGACTAAACATTGTCCTTATGCTCGGCCATCCTATGTTACCTTCTCACCGACTAAACATTGTCCTTATGCTCGGCCATCCTATGTTACCTTCTCACTGACATATCTTTCATTGTGATCAGTCTCTGATGAATACGTTTTTATTTGTCTTTAAATTTTATTTGACTGTTACAATGACTTCTTTTTCAGCTTACAATTTAATTATTGATTTTTCATTTTATTAATAATATGATAGCATGCAATTCTCTTAATTACTTTATGGATCAAATTTTCTTAATAAGTAAAATTTAAATTTGATTGAAGCTATTATATATTGTTGTGCTCAGAGCGACATGCGTGAGCTGAGCGAGGCCAGAGAGCGCCTGGAGCACGAGAAGAGCGCCCTCAGGGTGGAGATGTTGCAGCGAGCATCCTGCCTCACCAACGGCGACGCTCACGACGCTCACGACGCTCATGACGCCTCGTCTGCCTCACTATACAAGTATGCTGTACAGGGTCTTGCTATACAAGTATACAGGGTCTTGCTGTACAAGCCCTTACTGTACAAGTAAACTATACAGGGTCTTGCTATACAGGTATACAGGGTCTTGCTATACAAGTATACAGGGCCTTGCTGTACAAGTGTACAGGGCCTTGCTGTACAAGTATGCTGTACAGGGCCTTGCTATACTAGTATACGGGGCCTTGCTATACAAGTAAACTATACAGGGTCTTGCTATACAGGTATACAGGACCTTGCTATACAAGTATACAGGACCTTGCTATACAAGTATACAGGACCTTGCTATACAAGTATACAGGACCTTGCTATACAAGTATACAGGGCCTTGCTGTACAAGTAAACTATACAAACCCTTACTATACAAGTAAACTATTTGACCACTTGCTATGGAAGCTATGCCACGTAATATATAATTAAGTTTTATGTAATGCAGAAAAACTATTTCCAATACGTCATATGTAAAATATTCACTATTTCCAGAATATGCAATGTGTACTTCATTCTCTATAAAATGAAAACGTTCTCAATACAAACTATTTCCAATACGCAAAGTTTACAAAACACGCATTATCGAGCATTTTAAATTATTTATTGACCAAGCAACCATAGGAAATAATTACACTAGCTTGACTAAGCATTAAATGTGGCGCGTGCAGACGCAAGTACGAGTGGTCGCAGCGGGAGGTGGAGACGCTGAAGGAAACATATTCATAGGAAATATATATTCAGGTTGAAATGAGATAGAGAAATATATATGCAAAGCAAATAATTGCATAAGCTTGACTAAGCATTAAATATGGCGCGTGCAGACGCAAGTACGAGTGGTCGCAGCGGGAGGTGGAGACGCTGAAGCAGCAGCTGCGGCAGCACCAGCAGGACGAGGTCGAGCAGACGTTGCTGCTCAAGAAGCAGCTCGAGAAGAAGGTAAGGGCAACGGCTCTATAGCTGTCAAATAAAATATCATCAAAACAAAAGTTTTTAGCGCATTTTCTCATTTATTAAAAAAATGACCTATTGTGCTCGTCATGTCCGTCTGTCCGTCTGTCTGACCGTCCGTCTGTCCGTGACTTCGCGTTTTCGTCGACGAGAAAATGCGCTCTCTGTCACTCACTGCAGTGAGTACTGAGTTATATTTTTTGATTGTTGCAACGTTGACTCGTGGTGCCAAATATGTTGCAAGAGCTTAAATTTGATTGTTGAAACAGTGACTTTTGGCTTCAAGTTCGTGTCGTCAGAGCTGCAAGCTAACCAATCATTTTTATTTGAATTATTGAAGTTGTCTTCGTGGCCGGTGAAAGGTATATAAATTTGCTACTAAATATCCCTTCGAAGTTATTATGGATGGCCTGTAAAGCATTTTGGTTAGTATTTGAGATCTCCTCCATCTAGACTCATTCTGTCTTGGCCTTAAAAAGTTATATTATTCCTATATTTGTCGCTCATACGGAAGATGTTGTGTTCAGATGAACGACGCGCGCGAAGAGACGGAGGAGCAGCGGCAGGTGGCGGGGCAGCTGAAGAAGCGCACGCAGCGTCTGCAGTCTGAGATGAACGACCTCAAGATCTTGCTGGAGGAACAGTCCGCCCGCAACGCCCTCCTCGAGAAGAAGCAACGCAAGTGAGTCTTCTTGTAACTATTAGTTTACTGAGGTTAGGTCCGTTATTTATTTGAGGTTGTTCATGGTTATGAACGACCTCAAGATCTTGCTAGAGGAACAGTCCGCCCGTAACGCCCTTCTAGAGAAGAAGCAACGCAAGTCAGTCTTATGTAACTCTTAGTTTACTGAGGTTAGCCCCGTTACCTGGGGCCGTACTACAAGAAATAATTCTTGCAGCTAATCACGGATGGCTTTATAAGCTAAACCCACCAATCACTGACGAGAAATCGACCGCTACATGTACTTATATGGCAGCTATTTGTAGGTAACCCTCTACCGCCTGACATGAGTAACCAGAGCAATATTGTCACGCGCCTACTTCCCAAAACGGATGCGTTCTAGTGAGCGCAAAATGACTTGCACTGATGGTTGCCGCCACGTACGACAACTTTAAAATGTTCTCTGTTGCGTACAAACCTCCTCAGGTTGCTAAACTTAATAGGTAACTTAAAATATAAATTGAAATTTATGTTCCTGGAGAGTGACATACCGCGGTAGAGGGTTAAATAAGTTTTGAACGTGCGGCCCCAAGTCTCCAGATATATTGATCTCACTTATATATTCATTGATATACATAAGTTAATCTTATATAACCTGATACGGTTAAAATATTTGACTGTATGGCCGTGCTGACATAACGTTGTCTCTGTGTCCGCGTGATGGTCCAGGTTCGACGCGGAGGCGGCTGCGTGGCAGGACGAGCTCCGCAGCGAGCGCCTCTGCAGGGACAAGATAACAGCCGAGCGCGACGCTAACCTCGCCTTGAAGTACGCAGCCGACCAGGAGCTTTCTGTGAGTACTGCTCTCTACTGCTGCATGCTGCCTTCTGCTGCTACATGCTGCCATATGCTGCCTTCTGCTGCCATATGCTGCCTTCTGCTGCCACATGCTGCCTTCTGCTGCTACATGCTGCCATATGCTGTCTTCTGCTGCCATATGCTGCCTTCTACTGCTACATGCTGCCTTCTACTTCCTTCTTCCACCTTCTGCCACCAGTTCCACTTACATCTACTGCCGTCACCATCAATAACCAATTATCCACATGAGTGCACTCTCATCCTTAACCCTAAAGCATAGCAGCTGCGGCTATTCAGTGTCTTGTCACCACCCACACCTGAGGGCAATCCGCACTCTGTTAACGTGGTATTGTGTCTAATAACGTTATGATGTTTGGTGACGTAACAATGTTAGGTGACGTAACTATGCATGGTGAGCACGAGACGAAGCGTCCAGCCTGCCCAGTTACGCCATGCATGGAACGTCTCGCGTCCGGAAGACGAACTACTGACGTCAGCTGCGCCAGCTAGGGCCGGGATGTTGTTATGCTGCGTGCCGCATCGCTGTACCCACTTTGAAGCTATACTTCGTGCTGGCTGCTATATCCACTGTCATGCCACTGCTACAGTTACAGTCATGCCAATTACATTGTTACTACCATTGCAATGCTATAGTCACTGCCGTGCCAATTCTATAGTCACTGCCAGTGCCATCCCACTGCTACAGTCACTGCCGTGCCACTGCTACAGTGCGGAAATTAGGAACTCCCTCGCAACAAGCACTGTGGAATTGAGTTCGGAATCTGGAAACTCTGACTTCTTTGTTGAACACGTACTACTCCACATAAAAGAACTCTACCTCTGAGTAGCCATAGTCTATAGGCCGCCTGGCTGCCCATCGGAAGATTTTAACAAAACCCTTAAGGAAATGGAGACCAGGGTGCATGGCTGGACTGGGTGACCCAGCCCCCCCCCTGATAGTGGGGAGGTCTTCAATCTCCTACGCATCCGCTGGACAAGTCCTGGCGGCTTGGAGGCTGATGACCGCGACAGAAGTCAAGAAGCCCAACTTGTGAAGTTTGCTTCGGAACACTTGCTCAGACTGCAAGTTCGGTTGCCAAGAAGGGAACGCACTATCCTCAATCTCTTCTTTGCTAATAATGAAAGAATGGTGGTTGACGTTCGGGTTATTAGGAATAAGTTTTGACAATTGTTATTGAAATTTATAACGATATTAAAATATTTTGGGTTTAATTGTTAGATCGTCAATTTCTTTAATTCTGTCAGGTTGGTTTAAGTAGTCGCTTAATTTGGCGCGTATGTAAGTAAGTTCTCGTATGAATAGGTTACGGCAAAAAAAATCGTACAGAGAGAGGGTTGTAATGAAATACGGATACATTGCATATTAAATTGGGAAATTCAAGTTCACATCCTACATAAACGAAATCTCTAGTACATGAAAAAGTTAAATTGAACACAATCAAAATTGAGAATCTATCAGTTAACATCACTAAAAAATTTGTATTTACCAGAAACGTTGATCCGTTGCAGTTTCGTTGAGTCGTACGACTGTTGTAAACGACCGTAATGCACGCACACGTTGCAGCCGAATTTTCAGCGGCCGTACCGTATCCGTAACCGCGTACCCCGCTGCCCGCTGTCGTTCTTGCTCCATAGCCGTCGTGCCTCGCTGATATTAATGTCTCCCGGTCAGTCTGGCCGTAGAATTTATGACGACCGTACTCCAGTATAGTGGCGCTCGTCTTCATAGTCGATTATATTACTCCAAACTCTTTGCCCTACTACTGCTGACGGTGAATGTGGCTGTACAGATAAGAATTTCCGCGGAGCGCGCTGTACTTGAATCTCCATGATTGCCGGTGTTATTATCGTTGGACATCTCGTGGCTTCTCGCGTTGTTTCACGGCTGAATCACAGCCATAGCAATGATGTTGACCGTACATATATGGCGAAATAGTGGCCGATGCTTAATTTTTGACGTTGTTATATCGGAATCGTGGTGGTATGAAACACTCGACGTTTCGCGCGGCCGTTATTTCGCGACTCGCCGCCCAACGACCGAAGCCGGTGCGGAGATAGCTACAGACCGTACTGACGTGACGGTCACCGCAGTAGAACAACCTTTGGCGCGAATTTTACGGCTTTATATAGCAGGACGTCGTGCAAACATAAGCCTATATACCACGAACGCCGCGACAGTTTTGAGTTGCACCTTTTGATACCCTCGCCCATCCAAACTATAAGCAAACCCTCGATCTCACGTTTTTTTCCCTAACTTTGCGGTCAAGTCATATCCTACCTATAATTGCTTAACATATTTTAGTCCCTTCTCCACTTCGCAATATAGCTATTTTCACTATTATAGTATAAAATAGAGTCAGAATTACCTACGCTTTATTCACGTTTTGAAGAGAACCTCACTGTCCGAACCACCGCCTTGAGATGATGGATACGACAATAATTGGAATTGAAACCCAGCCCAGGTCTATACCCCAAGAAGGACTGGCAGGACTGGACTTCCACCATCGAAGAACGGATTGAGAAGCAATTTGTAATGAACTTCACAAAATTTACTGGAGAGAAGATATTCATGAGAGAAATGCAGAGGAAAGTTACACAAAACTATGTAAGAAAGTAGCACAGGTATGTGTGCGTCATATCCGAAGAAAAACGGGCCCTAAAGTCTTCAGGATTCCGAGATACAGACAAAGCATCCTGAGGAAATTCACAGGATTGAATAAGCAGATAGCTAAATCCACTAGTGATCTGAGGAGACAGAGACTATAGTAGTGCTCTACAAGGAAATCGAATTCATGTTGCTGGACTCGCTCAGGACGAAACAACTAACTGCCGAGGAACGAGTAATCGAGGTCATCAGAGAGAACCCTAAGTATTTCTTTTAATACGCTCAGTGGAGTGCCACAGGGCTAGGTGCTAAGACCGATCCTTTTCCTCATCCACATCGCCGACATCGATTCGGAACTTACCCACTCATCTACATTGACATTTACGGACGATACAAGAGTGCTGATGAGGATCACAGATGACCTAGACTGCGAGAGGTTGCAGGATGACGTGTCGACAATGTACGATTGGGCCTTAGTTAATAATATGCAATTCAACGGCACAAAGTTCGAAGTATTGAGACGGCACAGAGTCAGGGATACCACATTGCTACTTGGCATCGGATGGCACAGATATTGAGGAGAAGCAACTTGTTCGAGATCTCGGAGTGTTGATGAGTACCAATTTACTCGATGACCTCATCAAGGAAATAGTTGAGCGAAGAAGACAACAGTTGGGGTAGATTTGGAGGACATTTCGAACGTGGGAAGCAGCACCACCACGAAGCAGCACCATACTTTTCGTTCTCACGACGAAAAGTGGTGAGACTGAGCAGGATTTCCCCATTTAATAACCGAGCCACGGCCGGAGTACCGACTCCTTCGTGATGGATCACTGTCCGTGGCAGGACCGAGGCTGTGATGAGGGTGCGTGCCGCGTGGCAGGACCCAAAGGTGCTGAGGAGGAGGGGATTTCACTATTGCGACATTCACGAGACGACTGAACAAGTTTTTGAGAAAGATCTTAGCCGCCCAGTTATGGGAAACTATACCCTCAGCAAGTGACAAGCAACAGCATCTTGCGTCAGCTGGCTCAAAGGAGGGCAAATAGACGGAACACGTCCAACGTTACATCTGGGACCCGAGGGCCTATCGACGACTTGGAGACGAAGGACGACGAAGGCGGCGTATCAGCGTGACCGTGGACTAAGAAGTCCTGAACTCATCACAAGGTCATAAGTCAATACCATGCCACTACTACTGCCACTGCAATGCCTCTGCTACAGCCACTGCAATGCCTGCACTACAGTCACTGCAATGCCTGTACTACAGTCACTGCCACACCATGCACTGCTACAGTCGCTGCAAAGCCACTTCTAGTAACTGATACGCCACTGCCAGTCACTACCATGTCTTACTGTCACTGCCGTACCACTGCGACGCCATTGTCCTCCACTGCAACGCCACTGCCACAGTCACTACCATACTACAGCGGCTACAGCCGCTGTAGTATGCCATATGTACAGCCATAATCTGCAACTGTCACTGCAATGCCATCGCTAGTCACTAATACGTCACTGCTTGTCACTAATACGCCACTGCCACAATCACTGCTATGCTCCTGTCACTGTCCCTGTCTTGACGTACGCCTGACACAACTCGTACACAGGCTACAGGCTGCGGTAACGGCGCCTCCTGCCCTGCACTGCACTTACGTAACCTCTTGTTGACGTCGCTGCGTGTCCCGCTGATGTATTGGCTTTGGTTGTGTTTGTCCCCTGTGGCTGTCCCCTGATGCTGCTGTTCCTTCTGCTGCTGTCCTCGCTGTGTTGACTGCATCAGCGCAGCTCAGTTTCTACTTTAAGTGTTTATTTGACCCACTCCTTGCTCCGCTATGTTTGTATTGGAGTGTAGTGAGTGCAGTGTGGGCGGAATTTCACGCTCAGCTGCGTGCTGTAGGCGACCAAAGGTCGTATTGCGAACCGCAGTACTCGTATCTCGGGCGTCGCAAGCTTGCCGACCACTCTTCAATGGTTACTATTTGTCTGCAAATCCTTAGTATGTAGTTAGGAATCACGAATAAACTTATTATTATTAGGAATTTATGGCTAGAATGCCGTCGCCCGAGTAATATTTGGGCGTGCAGTTTCGTGGCATTGCCATAATAATATCACTGCAGCTGCTGTTGCTACTTTTGCTGTGGTTTCCAGCGCTGCTTATGCCGTCGTTGCCACCGCTGCTGTTGCTGTGGTTGCCGCCGCTGCAGTTGTTGTGGTTGCCGCCGCTGCAGTTGTTGTGGTTGCCGCCGCTGCAGTTGTTGTGGTTGCCGCCGCTGCAGTTGTTGTGGTTGCCGCCGCTGCTTTTGCTGCAGTTGCCGCCGCTGCTTTTGCTGCAGTTGCCGCCGCTGCAGTTGTTGTGGTTGCCGCCGCTG